GCAGGAAGGTTTACTAATCAAATCAGAGCAATTTATGTATACTTAACTATCACCTAACTAATACTTTCGAGTCATAAAGAACTTTGCCTCCAGTTCCTCTTACTCACTGACAGAGGGCACTAATGCTGAAAACAAATCTATAGCAGTAATTCCCAGGGCAATCTCGTGTGGCTGAATGCAGACAGCACATTCTCAGCTGATGAGACAAGACGATTTATGCCTCAAAGATAAATTCAAACTCAAGTGGACACACAAGTTCAAAACTTAAATATCCACCAAACCCAAAGCAAGGGGCTGGGCAAGAGACAAGGAGACTACAATGATAATCTAGTGAAGCACCCCATGAGAACAAGGGCTAGCAATCAGGAGACTTCTCCCAGCTGCTTACAGAGCATTTTGTCTGCCTCTTCCTCTTGGTTGGGTGGTCAATAACAGACTCCCACCTCTATATCTGCCTTGTTGGCCTTCTCTGGATTTTGTCCCATAAACAACCCTATTACCATTGTCAACCTCCAGAAAATCAAAACATACCCTAATATAAAGGGCTACTGCATCACCTCTCCTTCCTTGCCTATCACTTCTGAAGAGTCTATTGCCATCCATTGCAGCACTCTCATTCAATGCTCTTGAAACACTCTTCAAAGATCTAGAAGGTTTAGTCTTCTAATCACTAATAAAAAGGCATAAATCTATTAGCACTATATTTTCAGTTCAATGTCATGAACTGAAGGGGACTTTGCAAAGCCTGGAATAAAAAGCAGTTAGAGCGCAGTTAGAGTACAGTCCAGGATTTTAAAACTCAATCAGCTCTTAAATTCTAAAGCTCTTTTAGAAGGAAGTAAAAGACAGTTTAGGGATCACATATAAAATTGTCAGGTACAGTTATCACATCTCACTGGAACCTTGCTTCCTTACCATTCACTCTGTCCATCAATTGCTTCAAGTTTTCATGAAATTGAGTATGTGATTATCATCAAAAGTCAGGTAGCAATGATTTCCTTGCATCAGGCAACAGAAAAGCTCAGAGGACTGAGGTCTGCAGGACACAAAAAACCTTTCTAAAAATTAAATACTAGTCTCTGCCATAAAGTAGGCTATGACAGCAGCCTAACCACTCAAAACTTATAAAGCAGTTTCTTGTGCTGCATATTTTTGGTTGTCCATTTCAAAACCTAAGGGTTAGCTGAACACTCACTCAAGTGCTCTTCAGTAGACAGCAAAACAGAAGTGTAGTCTGAAAAATAACTTCCATCTTTAGCCATTGTAGTTGGTGGGTTTGTTGTGGGTTTTTTTAACAGTACTTTTAGATTCAGTAGCCTTTAATGACAACAAGATAATACTTCAGAGGCAACTTGTGCGAAGACATAAATAAGTACCTTAAACATCCCATATTGTAGTATGTGTGGCCACAGGAAGCCCCACAAGTATTCCGTAAAGCTGTACTTTGAGTAAGGTTCAAACAGATGTGGTAATAAGTCATGCAACAGCCTATCTTACAAGAAAAATAAAAACTGAGCATCTGAGAACTGAATACATTATTAAAACTATACTACTTCCGTTCCTATTGCTCATCTTGAAAACTTAAAAAAGAAAGATACTCTTGGAAAACGTACTATTGCATTTGATAAGACAATCAATGAAGCTATACAGTGGTTTAACAACCAATTCTGCCATAGAATGGTTAGAGTTGGAAGGGACCCCAAAGATCATCTAGTTCCAACTCCCCTGCCATGGGCAGGGAAACCCTCCACTACATCAGGTTGCCCAAAGCCTCATCCAACCTGGCCTTGAACACTTCCAGGGATGGGGCATCTACAACATCTCTGGGCAACCTGTTCCAGTGCCTCATCACCATCTGAGTGAAAAATTTCTTCCTTATATCTAATCGAAATCTCCCCTCTTTCAATTTAAAGCCATTGCCCCTTGTCCTATCACCACACGCCCTTGTAAAAAGTCCCTCTCCAGCTTTCCTGCAGGCCCCCTTTAAGTACTGGAAGGCTGCTATATGATCACCCCGGAGCCTTCTCTATCTTTGTGTTTGAAACCCTTGAACAAAGCTACTAAAAGCTCCTAAAAATCTACTAAAAAGTACGTGGAGGTGTATTTTTAAGCACCCAGGTATTAAAATTCCAAGTCTCAAAAAGAAGTTCTGCAGAAAACTTTAGTTTGAACAAAAAAACCCTCTAACTTGAAAAAAAAACCTACTTGCAATAGTTCTGTAGATCTGCAAGCGCAAAACAAACAAAGTGCTAGCAATCTTACCTAGAAGTCTGGCAACCCATTTCGCCTATCAACATATATGCCTTTTTGATATTGTATCGAATGCTCTACAGCTAGGGACCATCACCTCTACTGAACAAAAGGTTGTGACCGCAGAGCTAACTAATTCCTCCTTTTCTAAATACCTACCTGGCCAAGTTAAAGACGCATTTACTATGTATGTCACAGTACCTGTAATGGCTTTCATTCTACGTGGCAGAGACAGCACAGACTTTAATCCATGAAGACTCCAAGTAGATTTCCTAGTTACGAACATGTGCATTGACGCTTCTTTGATCTATTGTTGTTATTAGGTGTATTAGAGCACTAACAATAACACCTGTTATCTAAGCAAACATATCCATAACTGCAATGTTGAGGTAGTATTTCGAGTAATATACTTTCAAATTCCCTGCTATCCAAGATTAAAACCGTTCAGCAACTCTTAGAAGAGCTTCCACTATTTCATCTAAAACTGTAGTAAAGGGGGGAAAAAAAGGCAAGTTTTAAAAAACTATCTTTATTTTTTTGTCTTACATTTAAACAGGGATGTATTTCATTTTTAGACATCCAGCCAATGTTGACTTCATTAATTTAGACATAAAAATATGGATATAAATGCAAATCATGTTGGCATAACCTGAACATACCCGCATTAGTACTGACCACTTTGCTTTGCTAGAAGAAAACGTTCTTCAGCATTAAAATCAAGCATTTAAAAAAATATTGCTGAAAAGCAAGTGCCTAGATACTGGTCATTTCAGCAAATAAACAGCTTTTATATATTCAAATATTTTAAGTTCGTACATACACACTTTCTTGTTATGTGTACGGAGTTCAGATCATATAAACACTATACAGATCAAAAACCTCTGAGAATAAAACTGATCAGGTGTGTGAGAAATACACGTATCACATGTACTTACAAATCTTACAAAGCAACAAACTTGGTCAAGTACTACAACAAAGGATGTGTTTTCGTAAAAGAATGGTCAAGCAACCTCCTATCTTCTCAGCTCAAATAAAAACAAGGAAATAACTGTATGAGTGTGTGACAATCAGTAACACGAACTGCTGGAGTGGAGACTTACAACCTGCCGTACAGTATGTTTTTGTAGGCCAAGTTAATTTTTTTTAAAACAAAAACTTAAGATCATGAACAGCAATAATGACAAAGATGAAAGTATACATATGAGCACGTAATCCAAATAATAAAAAACACTTTCGCTTGTTAAGGAAAAATAAATTACAAAATACAATTAAAATTAATGTAAATGCAATAATGAATTCAAAGGTGTGCATTTATTTTAATACACATTTAAAATGCTACCACAAAACAGATTAAAAATAAATAAGTATGCCAAAAAGCATGTGTGGATAGAAAAAAAAAGCTAATTAACTCTAGAAGAATTATAAAAAAATTGAGATAATCTGAGTTTTGGTCAACAAATCTGACTATTCACTTCCATCTTTCACACCCCTTCTTCAAGTAACTGGCAGCTAAACATGACAAAAGCACACCTCTGTCATTATGGCTTTAAAGGAAGCATACACTTTCTGAAGAAGAAAATATAAAATGGGCTGCCTTGTCTACTGACCTGCTGGTTTGTTCATAGTGCAGGCACTTCATTGGACTGTGGGGAAGTACCTGACACATCCTTGTCATCCTACTGTTAATAGTGACATTACACTGAAAGACAAGAAATTTCCAGGAAAAAAAACTTGGGAAATTTTGGGTGCTGTGGGCTAGCACACAGAGAAAGGGTACTTTCATTGCATTTGCTTTCTTAATCAAAGAGCAAAAGAATTTACAAATGGATCTCTAACATTACATGGCACATCCATATTTTCAAGTTAAAGATGTTGTCCATCACCAATTATCTTAGTGAACATACAGGCTTTAATACTGATTCCACACTTTAACCAGACTGGTATTTATTTCTTATTTTGTAACTCCTCTTTAGATTCTCTTTTGAAGGTAATTCAATCTTACTAACATTACTGGAAGCACAACTTAAATTATACAAACTTCTGTATTCTTTGTACAAACACTCGTCATTTTCATTGTACTGAAATTCCATCATAGGCATAACAAAAGCAAGTCTTCAAATTCAGAGGCTACTGGAAATACTTTCTGTTCATTAGTATTACCAGCATTTAGGCAACTGTCAACACTTAAATCAGCCTCCTCAGTATCTCTAGACAATGAGTGTACTACAGTATCACAGATAGGGTTTAATGCTAATACAATTTTACTACAGTATCACGAGTAAAACTGGGAGAAAATTAAAAAAAAAACCAATGCAGGTATCAGAAAAAAAATGTTAAGATTTTTTATTTGTGCATCTGTATTTTTCTTCTGCATTTTGAAAGAAAACTGCTTTTGATATGCTGCTACCAAACTCAAACAGATTTATGACATCTCTCTTCAGCTAAAACACTGCTAGTATTTCCTAGGACAGGAGTAATACTTTTCAAGTTTAGTTTTGCTGAAGATACTGTTCATTTGTACCATTTCATTGGTCCATTTGTTGATGGTCAAAGAATAGACGAATTAAAGAAACAAAAGATGGGTGCAGGAGAACCAAATCAAAGCACACAGACATGATATTGTTTTAAGGGAGTCCTTGGAAAACATGTGGCCATTATGGAGGGATTTTTTTGGTGATGGCGGGTTTCTTTGAGATCACAAGACAGTAGTCGAACAAATAAGCAACTTCCCATGTTCTGCTTAGTTCTAGTCATTTGTGGCGCTGAATGGTTTTCCTTTTCCTCCGCTTGAAAAAACAGCAGCACCTGCAAGTGTGACATGAATTACATAAGATACAAAAAAAAAAAAATCACAAAACTAAGCTCTGTTTATTTATTTCACTTGAAGTACGCAGTTTGGGTATAGTTAGCAGTACAAGGAACATGTTAAGCTCTATTGCAGGTGACTGATTTATTAAAGAAAGAAATCATAGTAGAGATATTTTTGACACATTTCACCTTTTTTTGGGAAAAAGTATCAAATGAAAAAAATTATAATAAAAATAGCTATTAAGTTTAGAGTATTGTGTGAGGGTATCAAAAGCATGGGCATCATAGGCTGACTTAAAAATGTGTTTTTAAGAACAAGGCATGTTCCATTACTTTAGTACTCTTTGACATTAACTGGTAGTACACCAAATACAACCCTGAGCTTAAGATTATGTCACCTGAACTGTCCTAACACAAAAAAACAATTTGAGCTTCCTCTGTCAACCAGAACTTGGAAATACCTCCCCAGGGCTATTACCCAAAATATTTTAGAAGAAAATGTTCATGAACAATGTAATTAATGTTCTCATTCAGTACTGTGATGACATTACTACAGTGAAAAAATCACAGTTTTGAATATATTAATGTGTACTGACATTTTTCTTCTGCTTTATTGCATACTACATGAAGGAAACTAAAACTGACAAATACTGCGAACTTCAATCAGCAAACAGATACATCTGAAAGTAACTGAAAAAATACTATGAAAGGAAAAAGAATTGGAGGGAGTTAGTAGCAGGTAATACAGAGGAGGACTGCAGAAGTTCAGGAAGTATTTTTGAAAATAAACTAAACAGGAAAGTCACAAATACACAAAGAAAACTTTTTCATTTGCATGTAATGTTAGCCTTATTTTAAGCAATGCCTGGTTCCTGACCACCACCTTTAAAATTAAAACTTCCACTTTAAATAAAGTATTCATAATTTGCAATCAAAAGTGAACATGCAAGCTGTCTACGTTAACAGAGCTTGCCCCATGAAGTTCTGCAGTTTGTTTACTGAATTCTCACTTGCAGTGCTATATACGTAATAGTCTTAACATTTTCACAGACGTGAAAACAGAAATGTACTGCATTAATAGCCTATCAGCAAGTCCTTAAGTTCATCAAGCGTTTTATGTCACTAAAACTCAAAAAGAATCCTGCTGATTTAGTTTGGAATATAGGAAACAGGGAAAGCACTTGAAAACCAGGGAGAATAAGGGTCTAAAAATAAGGTTCTACAAGGGGTGAGAACAACATCCAAAGTAAGGGGAGACAGAAGTTACCTTCTCAAAATATCCAAGGGCACCCTGTCGCTCAGTCATTGAAAAAGTAGCAGTGGGCAGAGGCAGACCAGAGCTGCTCTGAGAGTTACATAACTTTCAGTAGAAAAAAACATTGGTTATTGATGGAGAGGAAGCCCATAACTAGAATTCAATAGGGGCAACTAAATATATAAATATTTTTACAGCTAGCAGAAGTATCATACTGTATTTATTGACTTTAAAGTACTTCTAAAAGAGACATCACTGGTTTTGAAGGCTAGTAGCCTGCAACTGAAATTCCCCTATAACTATGAACCCTTTTTCTCAGCATCTGTCTTCAACCACTAACATTCATTATCACTTAAACTTTGAATTTATATGCAGATGTATAGAGTTCAATTTAGTTTAATCCTTCTTTCACCGCAATCTTTTCCCAAGTATTTTATATACATACATATAACAAACATTGTATCAAACCAAAGCATTTTACAATAGTCTCTCCCTTTCATGTGAATTACCCTACGATATGGCAAATGAGGAAATCCTACCCTGGACTATGATGGTAAATCACTTTTTTACCTGTTTCAGATTAGGAGGCATCAAAGAAAGTTTACAGAAAAATTTTGTCTTCGTTCATAATTTTAGTATATAAAGAACACAGGTTACATAAGTAACTGTAGGAATATGAAAGTGTGGCAGAGAGTTAACTTATATTCTAGAAAAACAATACAAAATTTTAACTCTTCACTGTTTAACTACATTTTGCTTATGTGGAGAATGTCTCATGGAACAGGAGATCAAACTTCTTAAATGTTTAGGACTGCTTGGATTCTCTATGTAATTCTAGGACACTTCAGGTTTTCTTACTTTCCTTCCCAGAAATTTTAACTTGTCCTTGCTACGAGGATATACTGTCCTTTGTTCCTTCTCCATAGCCTATTGAGTTCGCTGCTTCTCTGTCAACCAGAGAAGGGCATCATGCAATAGGGAACTCCAGAGTTGTATCTTTAACAAACATAAAGCACTGCTTTTTTAATCTTGTCGTCTTCTGGAGTTTGTATAATACTATTACAAAGACAATAATTTCTATTAACAGCTTCTTTTTTTTTTTTTAACTTATAAGAACTATTCAACTGTATTCTAGTCCAGGGAATTTCACTAAGTGCTGAAGACTGTTACTTGGTGTGGAAAAATAAATCCTCTATTAATAAATAACATATCTAAAAAGTGTTAAAGGAATGCAAATTCCATAGAGCATTGTAAACCACAGGACTGGCCTGGAACCTTACTGAAATGTATATTTATCAGTCTAGAAATGCTAGACCTGTCAAACCTTCCAAGGCCAAATAAATGCCATTTTAAAATATATGCACATTTACATGCGAATAAGACTACACTGCCTGATAATAAATTTCAAAGAAATGTAACCCTGAAATTAGAGATTGAACCCTGAAATAATCTCTTGAAGATATGATTTATAACAGAAATGCAGACATGTTCTTGAGAATACTGTCACTAGAGGGTGTCATTATCACTTTTATATATATATTACATTGCTTGAAGCCATACTTACAGCTACAGATAGGGGTATTATTAACGAGTATTAAACCACAAATTTATCATGTTGTTCAATAAGCATGAAAAATGTGTAAGAACAGATACGCTTTGAAAAATTCTAATTCTAGGAAAGGATTTTTTTTTCCCTCTTTAAAGAAAGCATTTAATGACTGCCAGTCTCTTTCTCTGTAGGGTACAGAACACTTCTATAGCAGGCAGTGTAATATTGATGCATGAAACTCAACGACTTACTTTTCCTGTACAATCTGAAGTGACAATTGACATACTATCTGAGGTAGCAATCTCAGTATTATGCTTATGAACATTTCTTGTTCTACTTAAAACACAATCCTACCTTTTTTCTGTTAGATACCTTTCCCTCTACCACTTAAGCAGTCTCTTGGCACAACATGCTAAAGCAGCTTCATTTCTCATTTCTGTTTAGAGCATTGTGGTTTTGTATTTGTCATCTAGCATGTGGCAGCATGTCAGTGCAAGATTATTAATAAGTGTTTAAAGTGGCAAAAAGAAAGCAAGATTCAAAAAGGACAGATCATATAATCTTTTCCTGTTTGCCCTTCTCTGTCTTTCCATGGCAGAGTTATCCAAACTACACATGCTTCATAGAAGCAACTCTTCTGATGGCTAGCAAAGAGTTGAGGAAAGAAAGGCCTATTGCTCAATGATAACTGGAAGATCCTCTGTAGAAGATAAGATCTACAAGTGTCAAGGCAGAACAGTGATCAGGTTAGTTTTCTCCTTGCTTTGCAACTCCAGTAACAACTGAAATAGGGCTGAAAGCTACTTTTCTACAAAAACAAGAAACCTCTCAAAAAACTCAGCAGAAAAAAAACATACATCACCAAAAAAAACGAAATCCAGCACCCACTGCTAAATCATGCTTGCTGCACATGCTTGCTGCACAGTAGCACCTGAGAGCATGACGATGACAAGGGGTAAGATTTAGAACATATATTGCATGTAAGTACGTAAACATGAATCAAACAATGGAAGCGTTGGATGAATGCCTCAAAATAACAAAATACTTACTGAAAAAAAATCCTTATCTTTTCTGATTGAGAGCATCTCACTGAAACGGCTACAGAAGATCTAACATTCAGCTAAACGGTATTTGTGATATTTTAAATCACACATGATAGGGCATTCTTTCTTCCATCTTTTAAACCAAGACATAGTCATGCTAAGCTTCTAAAACTATGAACACATCTAGAACAAAGAATGAAGTGTTTCTAAGAAATACTCAAGTTTGTCCCTGCAGAGTATGAGGAAACGTTAGAAAACAGTTATCGGCAAGAGAGGTTAACTTTGTTCATGTTTTCAGATGGAGAAAAGATTATGAAAGAGGCACAAAGTGAGAGCCTTTTGATAAAATGTTTTAAAACAACAATGCTAAAACCAAAAATGTCTGTATAACAGACATGAAAAATACTAATACTTGCATTTCCTTACACTCTTCAGCAGTGTAAAAATCTATAAATGGATTTAAACGTCTCACAATACCTTTTGATATTAAGCTTGTACCTATGCTGTTAAAACGTAAAATTACCTGAACCTTCTAAAATATTGTTACTGAGGAAAGACGGGTACTTATAGATTGATGTCTGACAGCAATGCTGGGGCAGGGGTGTGGGTGAGGGTGTATGTGTGTTGCTTTAATTACTGCTAAAATATAAAAGAACTATTCCCCAAAAAATAGTGAATGAGGAAACTGCAGTTTAAATAAACACCACTGGAAAACTAATTTGTGTGTTTCATACTGAAAAAGGAGATTAATCTAAAGATGAGGATATTGAGACTAGATATTTTTGTCTGTAACAAAACCAGTAAAGACTAGGCCAAAAAGGTCAAGGACAGCATGTTTATCCATCAATTATTCAAATCAGGAAATAAAGAGCTACACTTCTAAAGCAGCTGCAACATCCTGGCTTCTGCAAATTCACCTAGTTTCTGTAGATAATTAAGTATAGGTTTAAATGTGCTAAACACTACTCAAAACTTCAGAAATTTAATCTTTTTCTGTGTGTACATAAGCAAGGTTATCACTGCACTTACCCAAAGGGAGAGGACAGGGAATTTCTCTATGAGCAGTCTATCAACATCCTTGCTCTTTGGGGTATTTTTTGTTTCTTTGTTTTAAATATATATACATAAGAAAATTAAATTCTTGACTGAAAAATATATATACAGTACTCTGCAAAGATGGCAAATAAAGAACTGGTCTTTTAAGCGCTCACAGAAAGCTAGTGCACAACCATGGCAAAACAGACACCTCCCTTCACAGTTTTTAACTACACATACACATAAATCTTGCCAACCAAAATCAGAACCTACGGAATAACTGTTTCAAGAAAAACTTGTACTTTGAGAAATTGTATCCTTTCTAACAGTCAGGAAAACAGGCCCTACAAAACTTACTGCTATTAAGGAATACTTACTGCATTTTTCTGCTACTAACATATCCTTCACACTTGAGTGCCTCTATTTCATAAGCTAGATCCATACTCTTGTAAAATCCTATTCCAAGCACAATTCTAAAACATGTTGAAAGTTATACTGCCTTTAGCTATCGAGAATATTTTTCTGCACTATTTTGCAAGTATGGCTTTACTACTAAAATATATATTCATTAGCTGTCCATCCCATGTTAACAGACCATAGCACTTTTCCCTTTCATGACACTGTAACTTTAAGGAAGTCTGAAGTTATGCTTTAGTAATTAGTTAGCAGGTTGTCAAAGACTAACACTCTGGCAAATACTACATTTACACAGCTAACGGGCAAAGTTCAAATATTTGCCAGCATTTATTACTTGTTCATACAAGTGAGTTATTTTCTAGACGTTAAAATACTAGCTGGCTGCTGCAGCATCTGAAAAGAACGTTTCCCCCTCTAAAACAGGATAGCAAGTAAGAAAAAAATATTCTACTACCCACTAAAAAGGGTTAAAGTACACCACAGACTACACAACTTAAAAGCAAGCAAGATTTGAAGCAGGCAAAATAGCTCCTGAAGGTGGCTGTTTGTTTGTAAAAACAGTTCATTGTTTCACAATATTAAAACATGTTTTGTGATTTCCAAATGGACTTGTTATTTTAAAGTTCTCTGAAATTAGTTTTAAACCAAATGACAAGAAGAAAACCCCTGGGGCTATTTGTGCCTTCCTGTGCTGCAGAACTCACCACATGTTCAACACTTTCTGGCAGCTAAACAGAAAGAGAGTAAGGGAAAAAAAGAGAATCAGA